TTTATTTTACTTTTTAAAATCTTTTGTTTAAAAAGCAAAATCTATATAAATATATAAATATATTACTTTTTTTTAAATAGAAACCAAAAGTACAATATAAAATTTTTATTAAAAATCAAAATATCAAATTAAATTATAAATTAATTACTAAAGTGGTTCTAAATAAAATTATTCTATAAATGTTGATTTAATTATATTTAAATTTATTATTTTTTTTTAAATAATCTTTGTTAAGTTACAAATAAAAATATAATTGTGGATTTTTTTGCAACACCCTATACTTTGATTTTATAGTATTTTATTACTGTAAATGGCTTTGAAATGGCTTATTAAATATTTTTAATATTTTTAACTATTTAAATAATAAATTTTACAATTAAATCATTAAACATATTTCTATATATTATTTTATTTTTAATAATATAACAAAATAAAATTACAATTTTATTTAATAATAAAAATATTTGTGTATATTCAAGCATAAATAAATTTACAATTCAATAATAATAATAATACTAATAGTGATTTTTTTAGTTTTTTTTTATCGTATTGATTGAAAAAATGCGAAATTTAACTATACAAGAATGCCTTGCTTAATGCACACAAAAAGGAAATTTATAAAAATTTAGTTAAAAAAGATTATTAACGTGTTCGATAAACTTTATTGGTATAATTATTATGAAAACGTCAAAGTAAACTATATCAAGTTGTATGCAAAAAACAGTTGAAATCGTAAGCACTATACGTAAATAGTACAAGAAGTGTTTCATTTTGCCGAGAAAAATTAAAGCCCAAATCCTTAAGAATAAAAACCCATAGCAAATTAAGTGTCATTCAGAATTAGATCAAACCTTTGAAATTTAAAATGTCGAACTACGTAGTTTTAATGAAGCGGTCATTTTTTTTTTTAGAAAAAAATTTTTTTATGAATAAATTCTACAACACATTAAAATAAGTTAAAGAAATATAATAAATCCCAAATCATAACTCTTACGTAAAAATAATGCATGATAGTCTTTTAAAAAAAGTCTGTATATATATATAAAGTATTTCGTCGATGTTGACTAGTATGTGTATTAACATTTATGATTTGAAAGAAAAAATTATTCGGCTTCTGCGTCGGCTTCACTAATAATTCTCAAGAATACCTCTTCTAGACTATAAGACAAGAAAATAACTTGTATTAGTAATCACCCTTGCGATTTTTCGAAATACCAAGAGAATTTTTACTTGCCTAGTCTGACCCAGCCCCCAATCATCAACCCCGTGTTCTTTTTTGTGTTTCTCAATCTCTTCGAATAGCCGAGCTATCAAGCCAGGTTCTGGGTAGAATTCATATGACACATTGGTGACAAATGAGTCAAGCTTTTTTGCTGATTCAGGTAAAAGAGATTCAATATAGCTATTCAAACCAAAAAAAAATCAGTATGAAGAATGGATTGTAAATTTTCACAAAAAAAAAAAAAAAAAAATGCTAAAAGTACTTACGCAGTAGCCCTTTCGACATTCTTCGCTTTGCAACTAAATGATAACCTGAATCCTCGTCCGTAAAGTTCTTTCAGCCTCAACTGTGGTCCAATACATCTCAAGGTTCCCTTAGCCATTATACCAATCCTATTACACAACACTTCTGCCTCTTCCATACTGTGCGTGGTCAGCACAATGGTTCTTCCCTTTTTCGCATCATTCACTATATTCCATATCATTCTCCTCACCTCCGGATCCAAACCCGTGGTCGGTTCATCCAAGAATACTACAGCGGGACTACCAATCAACGCAATGGCAATGGAAAGTCGACGCTTTTCACCACCACTCAGCCTTTTGGATAAACGCTCCTTTAACGATTCTAATCTCACTTGTCGCAAAGCAACCTGTAAGACCAATTTTTCTTGGGAGGCAGGAACACCTTTGAGCCGAGCGTAAAAGAGCAAATGTTCACTGACGGTCAAGTCGTCCCAGAGAATGTCGTGTTGCGGGCATACACCGACGGACATATAAACTCTTTGCATCTGAGTATGAATGTCAAACTTGTTAATTGAAGCGGAACCGGATGAAGGTTTGTAGAGTCCTGTGAGGATTGAGATCAAGGTCGTCTTCCCTACCAAACATGAATGATGACTGTTATAGCGCACTGCCCAAATTCTTTTTAAAAAAAAAAATAATAATTGCACTCGAATATTACCTGCACCGTTAGGCCCCAAAAGCCCGAAAATAATATTTTTATCCACAGCAAAAGTAACATCTTTGACTGCTAACTTTCCACTTGGATATACTTTTCTCATTCTCTTCATCACCAACGGTGATTCAGGATCGTAAGCACTTTCAATCACCCGTCGTCTTTCCTCTTTCACATCGTCATCCTCAAATTTTATTTCGTCCTCATCCAAATCTTTGATACCCGCCTCTAATTGTACTACTTTCTTCTCACCATCATCGGCGCGTTTTCGTCCTTTGGAATCGCGACCTCGTAAGTAGTAATAGGGTTCAGTGAAGATGAAGTGCCAAGGTTTGTTTACTCCGAATTCGGATGGGATTACGGCGTTAAGGTAAGCAGAGAGGAGTAAAATTACGAAATATTCGACCGTCATGTAGATTATGGCGCTCAACACTTCATCACCACCGATCAGGTCACTTAGTCGGTATGCACTAAGAGTTTTACTGACGCTCCTGAAATTAATCAAACTGAGCGCACGGTAGAAAGCAAACGGTGGCCACAAAAAGTATCCGGCGGGGGCACCACCTTTACCTCTGTATAGCGATTCGGTAGCCAAACTTGTAATGATTCCACAAAGTACAATCAGGAATGTTACGATAAAGCCAGTTCTTGATTTCGAGAAGAAGCAGGTGAATAAGAAGGACATTGCAATTTCCACGTGTCCCCAGATGAAAAGCAATATTATATAAACTCCAGGCTGAGTCTGTGTGAAGATTTCCATCTTGAAGAGAAGGCCAGCAATCACGAATATCAACGTGGTTAAAATGTGCAAAACGTAGAAGTGGACGTAATGAGTTAGATAGTAGGTAAAACTCTTCAATCCGTTCATTTGCATCATTACAAGAATCCGATCTTCTTTCTCCTTGGTCAATGTGATGACGAATATGGGCAACAGGAAGGAGACACCAAATGGATACAAGATCCCGCCGACAAACGTTCCGATGGGGAGCTTGATGCTGGTAGTATACAGTTGGGGAAATGCTCGATACGTCTGGGTGATTTTGACTCCATTTATTCCGCTAGCAGATGTTCCATTGACAGTACGAATAATTCCATTGCTAAGCTTACTTTGCGTTGCTATCCTACGGAAACCCTGCGACGGAAATGATGCCGCATTTGAGATTCGAATGTCAGTGCCGATTTGTAGCGTATAATTCCATTTCTTTGCACTTGGATCGACAACATCCATTAGTATATTACCCCATGGCATATTTGTAAGTATAGAGGCGACTCTTGTGTAGAATGTAAATAAATCATCACGCGGTGGGTTGCTAACGAACAAAACTGCCTTGTCAACATTAGCCAAACCATTAATAACGTCCTGTATTCCTTTTTTGAGCAAGTCGTCGAACTCATCGACACTACTGTTGCTTGAGGAAGTGTCAAAGAATGGAGCAGCTTGAAAATTCTGAAGTGTTTTTGAGGTAGTGATGTTGGCATAGTAGTCGGTGTCAATGTTTCCTAGGATTCCAGAGTATTGGGGGTTGGAAGCGTTATTTTGTAGAAAGTTTTTGATGGTATTCACGGGTGGTTGACGGGGTTTTGATCCTGCATCTGCACCGTTAGCATTGCGAACATAGAACCAGGGAAATGATTGGTATTGGCTTAGGATGCTTAAATACATAGGAATATTGAGCGCAAACTCATTATACCAACTCCCTGAAGACGGGTCTGGCATGAATGTTCTGTATTCGTGAATTTCGAATGATAAGTAAATTTTTCTCACACTTCACACTTCCACTATACCCTCATTCCATCATACTTACGTATCCCTTCTAGTATTGTTGTCGGATTTACTAAGTGAAGGCTGGTAAATTGGCTCCTCGGGATAATCGTGTCCGAACACGAACACACAAGAAACTGGATTTCCAGGTGTCGAAAAAATTTCATCACCGGCAGGTGGCAAAAAGTAGTTTACTAATTTGACAACCTTTGAATTACCAGAAGAGTTGGGCACTTGGTCAGCGGGAACGGTTGGAACGAGCGAATCGTTTGTGTTGAAATTACCATACTGATCTTTGGCTTGGACATTTGAGCAAAATAATAACTCTGACAGTTGGGATTGGAGGAAAAAGAAATTCATTTGAATTTTTAAATGTGAAAATATTCACCGATACACACATTACATTAAAAATGCGAGATCAAATTTACCATCAGCAGTTATACTATTATCTATGAGAGTTTGAATCACGATGCCCATGATTCCAGCGATAGCAACCATTAATAATGGACACAAAGCGATACAACAAATGTTGGTAAACATTTGACGCTTTTGGTATGATAACGTTTTTCGGAACTGATTAAAGAAAGTGGGTAAAGATGAATGAATACTACCAAAATTATAATAACACTAGCTCAGATATAAGACATACCAAAGCTCTCATTTGATAACCTTTTTCATTATACTTAACCCCCGATAGAGGATTTTTCTCTTCTTCTGTGCCAACCGAGAAAAAATCGATTTTCTCTTCTCGTTCCTCTACCGTGCAGGAAGAATAGATTTATGGAAGAAAATTAAAAAATTTTTTTAAAAAAAGACGGTGACAATAATATGCAAGAACTTTTCAGAATCTCAAGTCTCCATTGAAATCAACACACCTTTCCCCTTATTAAAATCATCGAGTGCACTTTGATCTGTTTTATAAGTTATTTCCTTGTCGCCACTTATTGATCCTTGACTGGTATTACCAATTGTTATATCCATATCATGTGGTGTCGATGATAAAAACTGATGCTTTTTAGTAGGACTAACATATTCTTCGGTGACAACGGTAGTATAACCATTTTTCTCTTCACGGGTGATTGCCGGAAATACACTATCTCCTGTATTGGTTTTCTCTTCGATAATCACCTTGGGCGCTTCTTCATAAGTTATTGTCGTCATTTTACTTTGTTTTTATCGGATATTCATAAAAAAAAATGTCTATTATTCTATTTTAATTGTAAAGTTCGAGTCTTAATTTATTTTGGTTAGTAAATACTTAATTTGCATAATTGTGTGGGAAATAGTTCTTGAAAAAAGTTTTCTTGCTTTTATAATGCGAGTTTAATTATCCGAGGAAAAGACGAATTGATTATCTTTAAAGCCGAATCGAGCTTTAGAATGTATCTTATCCTAAGAAGATCGTGAAATATACGTGCTGTGGACTATATAGATACAGGTGTTCTCATTATTACTTTTTTTTCTTTTATATAATCGTTCGGAAAGACCAAACAAAGAAAAACCAGAAAACTTTCTGTGCTGAATGAGAGGTCTATGGAATTTATACTAATTTATTGCATATTATCTGTAAATAGTGTTCCCAAGTAGGTACCGTAGTACGCGTTCAAAAAAATATATTGTACATTGTACATCAGCGTATACTTATTTGTATAGTGCAGTTCATCGGATTGTTACCCAACAAAAAAAAATTTGATTTATTCATCTATTTGTAGATAGTTTGACATAATCAGAAGCCGACCAAAAAATCTTATCCAGAAATACAGTTAACATGACGGACATCGATTCCGATATTTCCTAACGAAACAACTTTAAAAAATTTTTTTCCTTTTTTTTTTTTAACCATCTGGACCAATACCCAGGATTGTTGTTGTGTCACTTGTATCATGATGAGATAATTTTCTAGGTGGATTTTCTATGATATTCTCGAAATTCTATATATTATCATTTTAATTTCATTCTATTATGAATTTAGTTTCCAATTTAGTTTGTTCAAATACCAAGGCATCCGGAGTTAATGGAGCTTTAGATGCAGTAATAACTTGGCGAATTCAATTGTACTACTTATTCGAATAAGAATCAGTGAATAGTGAAAATTTTGGAGAAAAAATAGAGACAACACTCATTCTACACACTAAAAAAATTTGCCAATTTTGATCAATTTTTCGGAATTATATGTTTTGATTGACAACACATTAATCTACGCTTAGCCGTATTTGGAAAAACACGCACAGCAGAATAATCATTATAGTGCAGCACGTATTTATCACGTGAAGATTTATATGCATACGATTCTAACAGCCAATAGGAATTTCCGAGTGAATCCGAAATTTTGTTTTGGCTTAAGATTTATTACACGGCTAACATCGGCCCGAAGGGTTAAATTGACCAATAGACAAATGCTGATTTGTAACGTATAAATGTAGATCAATACATACGATAGTCATGAATGCGAGCGTGCTTAATATAAAGAAAGAATCTATTGTAAAACAAAACATTGTTAATTACATTCATTTAAAAATATTAATGGTTTTCTTTGTTCTCCTATTTTAACAAGACACGTGGTAACAGGTATATTTTTAATTTTTTAAAAATATGTACATAATAGCCCTTGAAATTGAATCCAATATGAATAAATAAAGTTAGTCTTTACTATGCATATCGTATCCCATATAGGTTCAAGT